GCTGCTTTCCTGCGTCTGTCGGTCTCCAGGTACCCCTCTGCTTTGTGTCCTCTCCTGTTTCCTGGAATGTGCCCTCTCTGCTTCACCCTGGCTAATGTTTCTCCATCTGTTTAAACGTGTCCTAGGCCAATTCCACCATCTTGATTCTCCCGATTAGAACCCAATTTGTAAACATCAATTACAATCCACAGTACACAGAATTTTTTCCATATAATACAAATTCCCATCCCTCCCTTTCTTCATACATGCAAGACAAATGAGTGCCTAACTTTAAGAATAACAAAACACAATTCAATGGCATGCCAGCTCACGCTCACAAACAAATCTCTTAGAGGGATCTGGTACCATTCTGACCCTGTTCATACGATTACAAAACTCTTTTTTGAGCTCTCCTCTGTACAGTCACACAGCTCACTACCTGCTTTTCTGCTCAAACAAAAACCTCCTTCCTACTGGCTTACGGAGAAGCGATGCTGTACTTCATCCACTTTCCCCCCTCTCCCTCACCTTGCTCTATTCTTCCACTCAGCCTTACCTACACGAAACCAGCCTACCTCGTGTCTTCACCACTGGAGGGTAAGCTCCAACAAGAGCAAGACTGTCTATTTTGTTTACTACTGTAAGCTCAGCAAAGCATGCCTTGTAGCCATACTCAATAAACAGTATCAGAGCCTGCAACAAAGAGGAGTTGCTCCCTGGAGTGTAAGCCTGGCAGTTCCTTAAACTATCTGGTTTAGTCTCACCAGAAACACAGAAATCTCACAGCGCGTCAAACTACCTTTTCTGCCTTATGAAAAATCTAAATTAAAGTATTCAGTTCTTTAAGGTTCTATTATCAGGAAAGTAAAAGTGGTTCCAAAATCCAACTGCGAATTACATGAGGCACTCAACGGTAAACACATTATCTGATCTTACTATTACCCTGCGGACACACCCAGGAAAACCAAACTGTATACCACTTTTGTTTTTCATGTTACACTTAAAATTCAGTTCAGCTAATAAAACAGTATCTGGATCTAAAATACAGATTACAGAAGCATGACCTTAGCCAAGAACCCAGCTTTCCACCATAACGCAATCCTCTGATAAAACAAGACTTGCCAAGATGCTGGCTAAAGGAAATCTCCCTGACTGCGCGGGACACTCCCCAGCAGTCCTCCACCACCAGGGACTCTACGGCAGAGGTCAAGGTCTCGCCAGGCACCTAAGCAGCTTACATTTTTCCATCAAATATCTCACTGCTATCAGTAGAAAGCAACTTAGCACCAAGAGTCAGAGGCAGAAAAAGAACAAGATGATCTGAGCGTTGCTCTCCTTCCGTAAGAGAATTAAGATCAAACAGAAACTTCGATAGAGTAAGTTATATCTGTCCCCTCCTGAGTAACAAAGAAATAAAACACATCCAAGCCAACCAAGAGGCACTCTTCAGCTCACAAAGTGTTTACCAATTAGAAATACAACACCACAGTTTTCATTAAAACCCAATTAAAATATCAACAATCTTCACTGAAAAACATTAAACTCTCACCAATTTTGGTTTTAAATAAAACAAGCAAAATTGTGTGCTCTTAAAAACACTTTTTTCTTATATAGAATATATGAATACATATATACACATAAGTGTAATTGGAACCCATACTGTGCAAATTGCCCTACAGTTTTGCTGTTTTTTTAAACGACATTCATTATTCACTAGAAAGACAGATACAGGGGCTCAGCGCTATGGCCTAGCGGCTAAAGTCCTCACCTTAAACACGCTGAGATCCCATATGGCCGCAGGTTCTAATCCCAGCAGCTCCACTTCCCATCCTGCTCCCTGCTCATGGCCTGGGAAAGCAGCTGAGGACAGCCCAAAGCCTTGGGACCCTGTACCCACACGGGAGACCCGGAAGAAGCTCTGGGCTCCTGGCATTGGATCAGCTCACTCCAGCCACTGCGACCACTTGGTGAATGAACCAGCGGAGGAAGGTTCTTTATTGTCTCTCCTTCCCCCTATATATATCTGACTTTGCAATAAAAATAAAATAAATCTTTTTTAAAAAATATTTAAAAAAAAAAAAAGACAGATACAGACAGGTGAGATAGAAAGATCCTCTGTCCACTCTTTCATTTCCTTAAAGGCCGCATCGGCCAGAGCTGAGCCAATCTGAAGCCAGGAGCAAGAAGGCTCTTCCAGGTCTTCCACACAGGTACAAGATCCCAAGCTCTTGGGCCATCCTCTTCTGCTTTCCCAGGCCACAGACAGGGAACTGGTGGGGAAGTGCAGCAGCCAGGACACAAAGCAGCGCCCATATGGCATCCCCAGGTGTGTAAGGTGAGGACTTTAACGGCTAGGCTACCACACCAGGCCCTGCACTACAATTTTTTAATGCCAGCATAAAGCATGTATCACAATTTCTTTATCAATGCCCTAATTCTGAACTCTTGTTTCACTATTAAAGAGCTACAGGAAACTTTCCTTACACGTCTTTGTGCTAGATCAGAAAAGGGGAAAAAAAAATCTGAAAATGTCTCAGCACTGATTCTACAAGTAAAGTGAAAACAATGTTACAGATGCGGTTTGGGGAATGTGACTCACTCACAGCCCTTTGTCCTTTGCCTCAGGCTGCCAAACTTGTGTCCATTTTATTAGTGTTCCAGAAGATACATGAGAGATAGAGAAGAGAGAGAAAAGAGAGAGGGAAGAAGAGAGAGAGGGGAGAAGGTAAAACTTGCCACATTCCTCAGAACTAAAAGAACACTACCTAAAAGACCTTCCTAATCAAAATAAGTAGCATCCCAGAGGAAACTGAGAAAACCACCATTCAAATAATTCCCTTTAGGGTTCTTAGGCAGATAACCAGAAAGGAGAGATGGAGAGATCTTTCCTCTGTGCTGAGCTAAGGCCATCGGAAGCCAGCATCTTCTTCCGGGCCTCCCACCCCGGTGCCAGGTCCCTAGGACTTGGCCTGTCCTCTGCTGCTTTTCCAGGCTAAGGCAGAGAGCTGAATGGGAGGTGGAGCATCTGCGACCGGAACCGCACATATAGCATGCCAGTGCTTGCAGCAATTCCAGTTAGCTTCTGATCCACCGTACCAGCCTCCCCCACTCATTTTCTAGATAGAAAAAAGACCGCAATCCAAAATACATTTAACTCAATACAATAAGGAATCCTAAGAGCCACACTAACACATCTCCCCTCAACCGGCTCACTCCCCTCAACTTGGGCACAACATTCCAGGCCTGGCCAGGCCCAAGCTGGCTGCTAGGGCATGGGCAGCCTACCACAGCCTGCACTGGCAAGACCAGAGCTGGGCCTAGAAACCAGGCACTTCTCCATGGGATGTGGGCATGGCTAACCCTAACCCTAACCCATCCTAGGCTAAAACCATGAACAAAGCAGAGTGGGCCTGACAGTGTTTCACACTCCAGTCAATCTTCTGCCCGCAGAAACATCCTTCTGTCAAGGAGTCAAACATATTTGGGAAGGGCTTTCTCATCAATTGGGAATCACTTTATAAACTCATTAACAGAGATCCAGTTGATTATTTTTTGTGCCAAATTAACACTAACAGGACACAGACAAATCATTTGGTAACACAGTCCATCTCCACTGAGAGCAGTCGCTTTGTTTCCACGGAACCAGAGCTGAAAAGAGTTACCTGCTTCAGATAGTAAGTGCAAAAAGCTGTTCAGAGCACCCCAGTACCCTTCATATTTCAGGTACACTAACATCAGAATAAAACCAAGCAGCCTTCTCTTCACCGTGGCAAATGACAGAGAACCCCATCAAGTCGGCAACCTACACACTGTCCTGTGGATGCCAAGTAAAGACATGGAAACCCCGGCTTCTGCAGGCTGGTTTTCCACTTCCTAAAACAACAAAAACTGCCAATGATTTTGCCAAAAAGTCACAAGGTTTCATAACTGGATCTTCCCCTTTCTTCTTTCCTTTTCTGTTTTTCTGATTTTAAAAATGTAATCGTGTCCCATCCCGGAGACAGAACCATCAAGTTTAAAATCCAACACTGGTCTATGATGTTACACAAAAACAGGCTCAGGAAAGGAAATGCAATGCACAAATTCACCTGAACCAATCAGAAGCAAGGAGGAGGCACCTAGAGTTCACCCAACAGGTGGCTGGCAAGCAAACCAGGACTGCTCCACCTCTACGAAAGCCTCATCTACTAGAACTGCATGCACCTTGAGGAACTATAGGTAGTCACTTTTGTACAGGAGAAGCTAGGGATTCTCAAGCTGTGTACAGCTTGAAGTAACGTTCTTCACCTTTTAAAATCCATAATGCACTCCCAGTAAGACATGGGGCATTTTAAGTCAATTAAAATGCTTCTCAAAAAATTTTTTCTCATATACTTCAGGAGACAGTGTCAATCTGAAATGTCGTGCAATCCACCGGAAAACCTCAGGTTTAACAGCAAAACTGTGCTTCTAAAAATGGGGTACTTCTATCTAGACAATCTCTTTAGGAGATGCTAAACTTTGCCGCCTCCTTACTGGCAGTTTAAATTTAGCTGTTTTACTACTAAAATTAACAAAGCAGCAGTCCATTAGCACGAGCACTAATAAATCCAAGCTGAGACTGCACGCAAAACGTCTCCTTACAAAGCCAGTTAAGAGCAACAGAAAGCATATACACACTTTGGCAAGGATTGGGTAGCAAGCTAACAATATAAATAAATTCAAAGACTCCATTTTGAGCATGCTCACCCATCCTTCACCCCAAATTCCACGCAGTAGTCCTAGATCCTAAGTTTTAAAATTCGATCTCAGTTCACAGTGGCGCCCCTCTCCCCGACCCCTCCCCAGTGCTCCAAGGTCAAGACACGTGACAAAAGTTTCTCCCGACACTTTCCCTCCGGAGGCCACGGCCAGCCAGCGCTCCTCCCCCGGCGGCCGTGGGGCTGCGGCCCGAGGAGGATCGGGGTGCGGGGGACCCCCAGCCCGGAGACCGGCGGGGAGCGGGCATCTCCTGAGCGCGGGACCCCGGCCCGGCCTGTTACCTTTTCCTGCTCCTCGCGGAGCCGCGCCACCTCCGGGGCGCGCAGCGGGGCCGAGGCCGAGGCCGCGGCGTGGGGCTCGGGGTCTGCCGGGGCCTCCATGGCGGGACGGGGGAGGGCTCCCGGAGGCCTCAGCGGGGCGAACGAGTCCTAAACAAGTGTTTATGGAGGCGGCGTGCACGGCGGCTGCCCAGCGCCCGCGTGCTTGCCCTCATGCACCGCGCGCCCGGCGCCGAGGAGGCCGCGTCCGCCTTGGCCGCTGCCGCTGGGGCCGCTGCTCGCGTCCGGGCTGCCCAGGGCCGCATCTCACACGCGCATGCCGCCCGTCGTCGCCGCCGCCGCGGGCTCGGAGCAGCAGGCCGGCCGCCGGGAGCAGGGGGCGCCTCTCGAGTGGCCGGGCCCAGCCAGGCGTCCCGAGCCGGCCGCGCCTCCTCCGCAGGCCCCGCCCCGCGCGGCACGCCGGGAAGCGCGCAGGCCCCGCCCCGGGGCGCACGTGGTGTGGTGCGGGCCGGGCGAGAGCCGGAGTCGGAGTCGAGCGTTCGGGGCCCGGGCGACCCGGAGCCGGGCGGCCTGGGCGAGCCGGGCGGCCTGTGGGACCCCGAGCCGGGCAGCCTGTGGGACTCGGAGCCTGGCGGTCGCGGCCTGTGGGACCCGGAGCCGGGCGGCCTGGGCGACCCGGAGCCCAGCGGCCTGTGGGACCCCGAGCCGGGCGGCCTGGGCGACCCGGAGCCGGGTAGCCTGTAGGACCCGGAGCCGGGCGGCCTGTGGGACCCGGAGCCCGGCAGCCTGTGAGACCCGGAGCCGGGAGGCCGCGGCCCTGGCTGGGAGAAACCCTGAGACGGGCTGAAGTGGAGCCGAGACCGGAAGCAGGGCGGCTGCAGCCTCTCCGGCCGAGCCTTGATCCAGGCTGCACGGGAGCCTGGGCGACCCCAAGCCCGGCCGGGGTAGACCCCGAGCCGGGCGGCCTGCTGCCTTGCAGCTCATCCGTGGCCTGGAGCATCCCGGAAGGCGACGAGCATACACTCTCATGGGGTGCCGCCGCAGGCTGCTGCGACTGAATTCATGTTATTAAAGCTGTTTCCTGAGCACATTTTAAGTTCGACCTTTTAATGGATTAAAATCCACAGCTCTATTTTGCATATGTGTTCATTGCTTTACACAGTGTAACTTTAGCATTACTAACACTAGTATGTTACCGTGAATGGCTTCGTTTTCTGGGGTAACTTTACCTACAAAATCCCACTGTAGAATTTCTGGGCCTGTCTCCCCTCCTACCTAAACACACAAGGTCACCCACTCCACTGGCACCTCCATCCGCCTGCGTGCTCACCTCTTCCACCTTGCCCCGTAACCAGCATTAGCAGTCATCCCTAGATTTGATGGTTAATCCCTGACCACAGAGCCCTGTGCCTTAGGGAAGCTGACCAACAGGAGTGAGGCATTGCCCGGCCGATGGTCAGTTCCGGCGCGGGCTTGGGAAACCATGCAAGCGGACTTCCTAGGGCTGTGAGAAAGGTTTGCTCCTTGAAAGCCCCCTTGACCAAGGTGTTCAGCGCAGGGATTCTGGCAGGTGGACACCTGCTGGCCTCAGTGGGGAGTTGAGCTGGGAGGGAATCAAGCACAGCCTCAGGCTCCCTCTGGGCTCCTGGCTTACTGGGCCAGTGCACTTTGTGAAGGAGCTGGGCAGTTTGCATCAAGCTTCCGGTTCCCACCACCCAAAGGCATCATCTGATTCACACAGACCCAGTCCTTGACTCTGCTCCTAGCCTGAATGAGCTTCTGAAAAGGCGATCAGATCATAACATTCACAGCTCCCTACTGTGACCAGAATAAAATTCAGACTCCCTACAGGAATTCTGCCTTTTGAGCCCCGTGCAATAGCATAGTGATTAAAGCCCTCACCTTGCACGCCCCAGGATCCCATATGGGTGCCGCTTCTAATCCCAGCGGCCCTGCTTCCCATCCAGCTCCCTGCTTGTGGCCTGGGAAAACCATCAAGGACTGCCCAAAAGCTTTGGAACCCTGCATCTTTGTGGGAGACCCAAAAAAAACTCCTGGCTCCTGGCTTCAGATTTGCTCAGTTCCAGCCGTTGCGGCAGCTTGGGATCTTCCTCTCTGTCCTTCCTCCTCTCTGTATATCTGCCTTTCCAGTAAAAATAAATAAATCTTTTTTAAAAAAGAAAAGAATTCTGCCGTTTCTCACTCCCCCCACCCTCCCAAGCTCTTTTTTCTCTGTTCTCCAGTTCCTGACTTGGGATTTTTGCTTTTGCCAATCCCTGTGCCCACCGCTCTCCCAGACCCTTGCATGGTTAACTCCTTTGCATTGCTGCAAGTCTTGTTATAAAGAAGTCTTTCTGTTATCCTGTACCCGAAGAAACCCCTCCTGTCTCCCTAGGGCACCTACTACCCACCTTGATTTTTTTTTAAGACTTTTAAAAATTATTTTATTTGTATTAGAAAGTCAGATAAACAGAGGGGAATATGTCCCATCCCCACTGACTCACTCCCAAGTGACTGCAACAACCAGAGCTGATCCAAAGCCAGGAGCCTCTTCTAGGACTCTCACGGGGTACAGGGTCCCAAGCCATTGGACCATCTTCAACAGCTTTCCCAGGTCACAAGCAGGAACTGGATGGGAAGTGGGGCCACCAGGATTAGAACCAGCACCCAGTATGGGATCCCAGTGCATGCAAGGAACTTTGGCTGCCAGCTACCACATCGGCCCATGTTGCTTTTTAAAGTTTTGTTTATAGTGTTGTGCCTGGGCCTGCTAGCCACCGAAGCCACTCGAGGGTGCCTGCTGCGACCCACTACCGCCTCTGTGCAAGCCGCTGCAGTGGAGACAGCTGGCCACACAGCTGGGATCAGTCGGCTGGGGCAGTGTCAGCCACTGTGGAAGTGTCACAGCTCCACTCACAGCTTGGCCGCAAGTTGGGTAGTGGCTCCGCAGCAGGCTCCGGTCTCTCAGCCTCTCAGCCTCGGATCTTTCCCAAACGAACCAGCAGGAGTCGAACTATGCAAGCACACAAGGGCCATTTATTCAAACTTTCAAAGTTATTTCAAACTTATTTCAAAGTTTGGGGATCCAACTGTCAACCAACACAGAGGTAGAAGATATCAGGATTCTTACACAGTTCAAGGGGATTCCAGTCACATCTATGATTGGTTATATCTCAGCCAATCAGAATGGTAACTGTCAATCCCTCATTTACATAGTCTTATCTCTCCAGGAGACCTTGACTTGGCTAAGCAAATGGAATCTCTTCAGTTAATTGGGATTCTGAGGTCTTTGTATTTCAGCAGCACTGAGCAGAGGAGCCATGTTGAGTGTCATTTCTCCACACTACACCAGCTGCTTCCTTCCACCGGAGTAACCTGGCTCCACACGGCTGCCCTGACCCGAGCTGGGGCCCAGCTCTGTGACTTTCCCCGCTAGATGCAGAAGACAGACTCTTCTGAAGTCCAAGGGACACAATTTTAAGTGGTGGAAGGTGGGCCATCCTGCTTCCTGTCAGTTGCTTCCTGTTTGGTAGGGGAACTTGAGATAAGGTAGAAAAGGACTTTGCCCTTGTCAGTTGGGAGGCGTTAGGGGAAAAGCTTTGGGGGAGAAACTTAATCTCCCTCTGAACTCCTGGCAATTGTACTCCACAGGTAATTCTTTTTTTTTTTTTTTAAAGATTTATTTATTTATTGGAAAGTCAGATATACAGAGAGGAGGCGAGACAGAGAGGAAGATCTTCCCTCAGATGATTCACTCCCCAAGTGAGCACAACGGCCGATGCTATGCCGATCCAAAGCCAGGATCCAGGAACTTCGTCCTGGTCTCCCACGCGGGTCTAGGGTCCCAAGGCTTTGGGCCGTCCTCGACTGCTTTCCCAGGGCACAATCCGGGAGCTGGATGGGAAGTGGAGCTGCCGGGATTAGAACCAGCACCCATATGGGATCCTGGGCATGTTCAAGGCAAGGACTTTAGCCGCTAGGCCACACTGCTGGGCCCCACAAGTTACTTTTAAGAAGAACTGCCTCAGGCTTTTCCTGAGGAACCAGGACTATCACAAACTGGAAGAGCTAACACACAATAGTTCCATCCTGCCAAAATCCTTCACATTGAATGCACTTGCCCAGGGAAATACGAAACATGTTCTAGAAAGCAAAGTTAAAACTTCACTGAATGCTTGTTGATCTCCTACCAAGGATCTCTGTAACTCATGGAAGAAATGTAAACTAAAGCCAGTAGAAGGAATAAAAACAATGTTATAGTGAGGAATGCAGGATAGGAAATCAATAAAACAGAATATGATAGGTTGGAAGGATCAAAACCGACTAATAAAGAATGACATTGCTAAAATCAGAAATGAAAGTGGACCATATTGGTCGAATGCAGAAATAAATGAGATTATGAAAGAGTAATATAAACCATGTACTTCCCCAAATTGGATAGCTTCGATGACACAGAAAAACTCCTACAACACAAACTACCAAAACAGACGCAAGAACAAATACAAAATCTGAGTAGACCTATAACCTATAACAAGTCTTAACAGATCTATAAGAAAGTCTTAGTGGCTATAGTCCTTGCCTTGCACACACAGGGATCCTATATGGGCACAGGTTCTAATCCCAGTAGCCCCGCTTCCCATCCAGCTCCCTGCTTGTGGCCTGAGAAAGCAGTTGAGGACAGCCCAAAGCTTTAGGACCCTGCGACCCTGGGAGGATGCCCCAATGCTTTGGGACCCTGCACCTGCATGGGAGACCTGGAGGAGGCTCTCGGCTAGTGGCTTCAGATTGGCTCAGCTCCAGCTGTTGCGGATCTTCCTTTCTGTCTCTCCTCCTCTCTGTATATCTGATTTTCCAATAAAAATAAATAAATCTGAAAAAAAAAAAAAAGCCTGCAGGGATACATGGCTTCACAGATGAGTTTTACTAAACCATTAAAGAATTATATTAATCTTTCTCAAGATCTTCCAAAAAATCTAGAGAGCACACTTGGAGCCCAGGAAGATGCAAAGCGAAAACTGCAGACCAACGTTCCTTATGAATGTAGACGCAAAAAACAAAAACGCTAACAGAGTTCATCAGCATGTTTATTTATTTAAAGATTTATTTATTTTTATTGGAAAGGAAGATTTACAAAGAGGAGAGAGAGAAAGATCTTCCTCCCACTGGTTCACTCCTCAAATGGCTGCAATGGCCAGAGCGAGGCCAATCCGAAGCCAGGAGCCAGGAGCTTCTTCTGGTTCCCCCACATGGGTGCAGGGTCCCAAGGCTTTGGGTCATCCTTAGGTGCTTTCCTAGGCCACAAGCAGGGAGCTGGATGGAAA